GCAGTTCGATGAAGAATAGTCATGGAGAACTCGGAGACCTCTCATTTTGTTCAGAAATGTTTACTCTGTTGGATGAAGCTGTCTGGAAGAAGTATTTGGTCAAACCCAGAGAGCTGGTTTTGAGGTCACTTTCCTCTTTTCACAGTCAAGAGCACACGTCTTTTCCTCCTCGTTCTGTTTACTAATATATCTATCTCCTGACCTATAATTCTTGCGTTCTGCATGTTATTATAAACAAAATTAAGGGTCAATCAGTGCAAAAACAGTAATTCTGGCCGAATACAATTATTATAATAGCCAAAATTCGGCAGCAAAAGACAGTTTATGCAATGGACAAAATCTGCAAATGACATTAGAGAAATTCCATCACGACGAAAGAATTAAATCTCAAAACGGAAATTCACTTAAACGGATTCCAACCAACAATGGAGAAAGATTAAGTGAAATTTCAGATACGGACATTACAATGGATGAAGACCTTCGGCAAGAACAAGAAGGATGGCAAACTGCCACCTCTGGCACTAAGAGAAACAGAAATAACAATAATAATGAACGTCAATTTCAACAAGAAAGAACTTTTATAAATGAAAATTATCAGGGCCGTCCACAACAGCAACGTCAATCTCAAACACGCCCAACTTCACAACCTCACCCTCAACAGCAAAACTCTTCCTCTGTCCGTCCTCCACAGCAATTAGAAACGAATGAACTTCGAGTCAATGTCACTAACGCAGCTCTAAATTATGCAAGGGACTATCATTATCCACCTTTTAAACTGGAATGTCAACAAAAACTCACTGACAAAAAAATAGGACTGAAGATGATTAAAGAGCTGACACTTTACATTCAAAAAGATTATAAAGCACAAAATCCAGGTTCCAGTGAAATTTTGTTTGAATCATGGTGGATAGATTCGGCAGGAGATTTGCAATTTATCACTAAATCCTCATCTCTCTTCGTTTTTCTCTGTGACAAAAAGAACTATCCTGACAAAGTAAACACTCAATCTGTTAGGGGCAAGTTACAACGTGGATGAATTTTTGGCTGCACCAAAAATTTTACTTTGTGGAAGATGTAATCAAGGAGGACACATCAAAAAATTTTGTCAACAATCAAAATTCGACATTTGTAGA